CTGCACAAGCACGTATGTGTAAGGACATTTTTTAAAAAATTATGGCTGGATTGAGACATAAATTGCATAATTTTCAGTGGCTCTGTGCCTAACCTGCGCTACACATCTTTTCTTGGTAGTAAGCATGCACTTATACTTGTTTGATGCCTGTAGTTCAACAGACAGTACAGATAAACAGTTCCTTTTGCGTTGATGATTTAAGCTCTGCTATCCAAAGGGTTATCCAATCCACTGATTCCTTGTGTGGGAGGAGAAAAAAAAAAAAACAGTTTCTATCAAGTTTTGTGTTGCTCAGAGATTAAAATCTGGTTTTCTGTTGGTATGACCAAAGAAAGTTGAGCTTGGGGGAAGGGAGTTTGGTTGGTTAGCTGGGGCAGTTTTACTGGGGGGGGTTGGGGGGGGGGGGGTTTGGGGATGGTTCTGGGTTTGGAGTGGTTTTTTTTTTACAGAGTGGTAGCAAAGCAGTGCTAGAAATACACCAAATCCACGAACCTGTCTCAAAAGAGAGCCTTCATCCTTGTACTCAGTATGAACTAGGACATTTCTGAAGCCATAGTGCTTTTTCTTGCTTGCTTGCCACAAGTGGGTTTTGCTCTATGCTTCAAGCTAAAGCCCTTTGATGACGATTTGTTTTTTTGCTCTTCCTTAGGTTTAATTCTCAGTTTACTATTAGGTGTCACTAGCAGAGATGTGAAATACAGACAAACTTTCTAAAGCCAAGTGCTGTGGAAAAGCAGAGCACAGAGTCTGGATTCCCCTGTTGTTCACAGGACTGAGCCTTCCAGGTCAGGGTAGATTGTATTTTCACCACCATCTGTTGTGCCTGAAGATGCCAACGCAATACTTTTCATGACCAGTAACCTTATGCGGTTTGCTGTAAAAGAAAATATAATGTGGATTTTGGTTTTGGTCATCAACAACTTCTACTCTTACATGAATTTGTGCGTGCTTTCCAAAGGCCCATTTTAAGAACAAATTATATGGCAGGAGAATGCATAACACATGTAAGAAATTATCGAGGATTTTGGCTCTGAAATCTGTATTTGGGAGCTGACCAGTTTTTCAAGTTCTGACCCAGCAATATGCAGGTAACTTTGATAATCTTTTATTTAAAGAGTACCTAAAGCACTGCCAATGACCTGAGCACTGTAGGAAACTTCCTCCATAGATTGTCTTGTGCATTTAGCAGCTTCTGGTTATTTTTTCGCCATGTATTTAGAGCAGATTTAGAGCAGATTCCAGTTAGCATATGAATAACATCATGTCAGTCCTACTTCTTTCGTTCTGACATCTCTTTTGGCTCCCGGTGCAAGTTGGCCCGGTTTTCCAAAATGTTGATCCTGAGTCCAAATGTAACTTTGTGGGTGGTACATATGTCAAGCCCTAGTTCACTATTTTTGGACAGCAGCAGCATTTCATAATTCTTTTGAAACGAAAAGAAGAAACGAAGTTAACTGAAAAAAATGCACCTAGATCTAGCTGGGCACAAGCTCTCCTTTTCTACTCCCTCCTCCACCCCCCTGTTTTTCCATTTGGAAAAATAGAGGTTTACATGGTAGAAGCACTTGACAGGTTTTAGGCTCATTCAGAGCAGCAAGCAATAGCATAGCCTTGTCTTTATAACCTGTCTTGTCATGCCCTGGCGGCCACTGAGACCTCCTGGGATGTGGACGAGGAAGATGGGGAGAGTAGAGGGTTGCAACCCTGTGTTTGTGTTTGTTAAAACAGTGAGCTAGGCTGAATTACGTAGGTGGCTGAGTAAGGCTGTGTTGGCACCAAAAAAGCCAAACAACCCCCTCAGGTTCTCTGTATCTCTGTGTTTGATATACCTCCTGCCATATTACATCTTTATATACAGCACACAAAGGTATAAATGCAACTTTTACATAAAATCAAGTGAAATAGTCCAGAAGGCTGTAGCCTGTGTGAAATAAACACATGTACAAAGTACAGGAGATTTCACAGGGCATAAATCAAAATGAACTTCATAGCTTCCTTCCTTCCTTCTCCCCAGTGCAGTTGCTGAGCTGCTAGCTGAAAAGCCGTCCTTCATCCTTCTCTTGCAGCAAACCACACGTTCATATATTATTAATTCTGTTTTGCTAGTAGTGCAGGACATAGGTACTTTTCTAGAGTGTCTCAGGTTGCTTTTCCATGTCTGTGCCAGCCCCACTGCTGTGGTTGCAGTTCTGAGCATTGTTTTTCAAGCACTGGTAATTTTTCAGGCAATAGCAATACCAACAGAAAAAGTGTGTTTGAGATGAGTCTTGACACCCAAGTTCTGAGCCCAAGAGGTGATTTGCTGTGAGAAACCACAAAACAAATCACTGTAGCCCTCTGGGCCTCCCTCACTTAGCTGCATAGCTGCAGGAGGTCATAGGCTAGCCAGCTGCCCTTTCTAATCCGCTGATGAAACAAGTTAGCTTCAGCCCTTGCAACATGGCCTCTTGGAGCATCCTTACACCATTGTGTCACAGTTGAAGACCCTACAGACGAAGGTCCTTATGGTGGTTCCATAAAAGATGCTGGACACGGCAGTGAGGACCGTTCTTTTGAAGAACACCAGCCTAAATGATGCCTTTTTCACCCCTTCTTTTTTTCCTTCTTCCTAAAGCGCAGTCAGTGTGAGTTGCTATGCAGGAGAATATAAGGAAGGAGGGGAGACAGGGAAGAAAACTTGGTCCCTGTTTTCGGCTACTTACAGGACAGTGTAAAGTGAGGGCTTTGGTCTTAAGTATTTGTAGTTATCTTGCAGATAATACAGTTTGTGGGTAAAGAATGGGTTTGGTTTTTCCTTTGAAAAGGGGGCAGCAAATAGTTAAGTCACATCAACTTAGTCTTTTTTACCATTTGCAACAAATACGTACAACAACTTGAAACTCCAGTAGGAATGGTTGTCTTGTCAGGCTTATGGTTTGATTAGTCATTTGACTCTGATGGCCAACGTGGACTCAGGTGATACCCTTTTTCTTGGTGTCAGAGCACAACTGGCTCTATGCAAGGAATAGGAAAGAGATCAGACTTCTCCTCAAGGAGGTTTCGCCAGGGCTCCCAGCACTGTAGGTCCAGCTGGAAGCTTTGGGACATGTTCATGAGCAGTTAGGGAGGGTAAAATTCTTCCTCCACATTCAAACCAGGATATCCAAGTTGGTGAGTGAGGCAGATGTTATCTATTCCCTGTTGAAAAAAAAGGAAAGAACAAGAGCAAAGTCCATGACTGACTCATCCTTCTCAACAAAATGCAATTCCAGGTTTTAAACATTGGGGAATTATTATCATGCTGGCTACTTGTAATGATTTCTGCCTTTTTGTTTGGTTTAAGAGCTAATCCATTTGCCCTCCCCAGTACAAAATGCAATTTAAATGCCTTCACTGTATTGTCTCTTATAGAGATGCCCAAGTGTCATGGTTATATACCCAAGATGTTCTTCACTATGTGGTCTCCCATGAACCACCCAGTGTGTTTTGCAAACCTCACCTAGTTCCATTTTGGGATTTCACACATAGTAATGTTTTGTAGTACAGGAGCGGAGTCCTCCACTACTGTTTCTTCTGTGCATTTTGGTTGCTTTTCCTTTTTTCTTCCCCCTCCCCTCACCCCCAAACCCTAATATGGGCCCTACCTGTGATAACTGGGAAATGTAAAGGTGGGGCTTAAATGTCTATGCTATTCCCTTTAAGTCTGAGGCTTGCCTAGGTGATGCAGCATATATAGCTGTGTAACACAGCACCATTTATTCATGTCAGGTCTATGCCATATTTTGGTGAAGCAGGGGACGGTTCGATTACTATATAGGATTTCACCCTTAATTTTTAATTTCCTGCTCGTTTGTGTCACAGCCTTAACATTGCTTAAACCTGATTGAATGCGACTCGGCAGAGCTCAAGCAGCCAGCCCGGCTGGACAGATGTGCAGCAGGGGTTGGCGGTGGCTGCAGGGGACTGGCCGCAGTGCCTTCTCTCCTGCTTCTCCCTTCCTCTTTGGAGGGGAGTGCTGACTCGAGCGCTCAGGGGATGATTTTGGTATCACCCCAAGGGCTGTGGGCAGGGGTGGGCCGGGAGGGAAAGGACAACATGCAGGGAAAGGCTGGGGAGGGATGATTTTGTGGTATGAAGGAAAGCATGTCCCTCTGGGGTGATGTACATTAACCAAAGAGGCTCCCCAGCAGCTCGGCTCAAGCATGTGTTGTACAAGCCACAGGACTCTACAGCTTATGAGAATGATAGCTGTCTATTTTTTTAATTTTTTTTTTAATTTCTCCCTGGCAAAATTGCTCACCTTCTCACCTCATCAGTGTCAATAGCTGGATGTGTAAAACGTAGAGTACGCAGGCTTGCAGTAAAGAGAATCAGAGCATGAGCATTTACTACTCTTGTCTCTTGGCCATGGGAAGGCTGCTGTGAAACATGAAATCTCTGACAACCTTGACTGTTGCAGTCAAGGTCAAGTGAGCACTAAATATCCTTCTAAGACTCTTCAGCACGTGAAGCTTGTCTTGGTTTAAGCGGTCCTGAAAGGTGAGAACAGGATCAGATTGCTCTTTCACACTTTAGCTGTGTACACGTCCTGTCATTGCCCACCATTTCATGTTAACAGCATGAATCTAGTCATTCGTTAGCTTCTTGGTGGGTTTGGGGGAGGGGTGTTTGCTTGTTTGGGTTTTTTTTTATGACACTGTATTACACTATAGCTGCTGCCATAGCCAACGATATCTTACCTGGTTAGGATGCTATTCCAGTCCACCTCTTTTTCCTTGCAAGCAATAGGAGCAGCTTGGCATGTTAGATATTTCCTCACGTTTGCTTTTCCTTTTGGTGAAATGGATAATTCTTTAGGGAAAATCTTTCCACAGAAAAATTTATATCTTTGTTCAAAGATGAAGTCCCTAGGAAAAATAATTATTTTTATTTATCTATTTATTAAATCACTGCTGCTTGTTTCAGAGCACTGGGTCACTAATTCAGTGCAAGCTTTATAAATGTTTGTCCTCCCCCCACAGGGCATACAAAACCATTGAGGAAGATGACTTGAAGTTTCCCCTTATATACGGAGAAGGCAAGAAGGTGGGCATGTTTGCTTTCCTCAGACCAAAGGAAGAAGGAATTCGGTGCTGTTTACCACTCAGTTTAGCCTGTGGCAGTCCAGTGTTTTCCACTCAGTATCTTTATTTTATCGTTTTGACAGCTTGAAAGAATATCTTGGTTCTGTCACAAATCAGTCTCATGTCTGGGGGGTGACGGGTGAGCTCAACACACTAAAAAGCATTTTTATATCAAACATAGTCATTTGCTGTTCAGTTTGCTTTTGTTTTTCTTTCATTGTAAGTAAGCTGCAATGAGACCGTCTTAAATAATTGACTTAAAATGTTCCTGGTTTCATTGTGAAATGTAACTGGGCTGGATGAAGATAGCAAAAAACCTCATGTTTGCTGAAGACAAAGCAGGAGGATATTTAATAGTGCTTTGAGATGCAAAACTCTATTTTAGGAAGGGGAGGGATCAGGGCAAGATTTGGTAAGTATAACACCCCTTAACCCTATCTTCTTCAGCTAGTGTACGTGAACTCACTGTCGAACTTTTCTGATGTGTGAATGCTGATAGTTTTTCTTGAAAAGGAGAAATGAACCGTTCCGTTTGGGTGTACTTTGTTTCCAGCTCTGTGATTAAGAACAGCGAGATCATTAGTGCTAATCCCAGCAAGCTTAGCTGGATGCAGCAATAGGATCAATATAAGGACGCAGTGGTGTCAGTTTGCCGATATTGGTATGCTCGCTGTGTTTCTAAATAGTGCTCCCCTGCTGCATTAGGTTCTTATCTCAATGCAAAAATACACGGTCTTCAAAATTAGTCCAAGTTTTGAAGGTTCAGACCTGCAGCTTATCTCTGAATTTGGTTAGGTTTATAATTATTTGCAAAATGTTTCATGCACATCATTTTAATTTACTTTCTTATTGCCTTGTGGAGCCAAGAGTTAGTGAGGCAAAATAATTTTGAGTCAGTTGCTCGCTGTTATTGATGCTGTGAGCTCTCGTGTTCAGAAGCTGCTGCAGCTAAACTAGAGTTTGGGGGAAGTGATACGCAGACAGCAGAGAGCGAGGTTCCCCGTGAGGCTGTCTGCCTGGTCAATCTTTGGAGAAGCGTTAATGAAGAAGAGCCCAGCACCTCTTGGGAGACAGCTCATGTCACAGAGGAAGGTGCTTGGGGGATGAAGTGGTAGACCTGAGGTAACAGCAGACCTGCCCTAGACTGGCTCTCCACAGAGAGAGCACTGCGGTCAGTGCCACTGTCACCTGTGTGTTCAGCAATTTAGGTGGCCTTTGGCACTGGGTGGAGGGGATATACAGCAATATATCAGTAGGAGGAGGCCACAGGTTTCTTAGGTGAGTAATTAGGCTCCTCATCCTTTTTATAAAACCTGTTTACTAACCGTATAATTTGCTGAGGGAATGGTCTCATAGACTGGCGTGGGACAGTGAGGCAACTGGGTTAGGTTTCCATAGTCCCAGTCCTTTACAGATGGCCACAGTCTAAGATGGGTGTATGCAGTCTGGGATGTGGATGAATACAAAGCTTGGAATAATGAGGGAAATGGAGACGAAATGAGTGTGAAAAGCTTTGATTAGCTGTGTTAAATCTAGAGTTTCTGGGAGAGAAAAGGGAATTCATCCCTAACTGTAGCAGTTACGGGGTAGGAACGTTATCTCTTTCCCTGTTGACACAGTGCATTTAACAAGATTTGATCCCATTGCTTTTCTTTATTTCTAGGCTCGGGTTATGGCAACAATTGGAGTGACCCGAGGACTGGGAGACCATGACCTGAAAGTGCACGACTCCAATATATACATAAAACCTTTCCTGTCCTCATCTCCTGAGGTAAAACAGCCAAGGTTCAATTATCTGATTTGTGGGAGAGAAACAAATATGCCTAGTGTGCTTATTTGTTCTTCCCAAATTGTCCATTCTGATTGTGGTCCAATCCAGGTAAAATGCAGCCCTTCCCAAAGGTGCAGCGTGTGCGTAACATCCACATAGTAGGAACATTATAAGTTCCCCAGCTGTGTGCCCTGGCTCTGGTTGCTCCACATCCCTGGCAGAGCATTGATGCCTTCTCACTCCCTGGTCTACGGTTATCCCATAGCCTTGCCATTCAGTGTGAGACACCCATCTCTCCCCACCTTCATGTGCTCCAGCTGCCCTTGAGGCCTGGATCATGCTGCCTTCACAGAAGCTGATGTAAAGCTGTGCTCTCCAGAAGGGAGCACTGGATGTTTTCCACAGTAGTGTAGTATCCTGCATTACACAGAGGATACCAGATCAACTCGTAAGCAGGAAAATGCCAAGAGCGATTGGAAGAGTGCTTTATGCTTCCATCTGTCTGCCCCTTCACCTCCAGTTCTTAATTCTTTATGACGGTTTTGTGCAAACACCAAATAATGGCAGGAATGGCAGTGTGCATTCCCAAATGATGGCATAATGAGGGGATTATGCAGTTTTTGTGTTAAGGGTAGTTTTAGATGCCTCCATCATTTTGAATTTCCTCACCACAAACAGTTCCAGTTTTTGACCACCAGAGACCTTGCAGTGAAGGATATCAAGCCTTCCAAAGGGATCTGAATCTATTTGTTAACAAGAAACATGCAAACCTCGCTCTTTTTTCCTCTGTAACTGCATTCCTGTTCCTACATCAAGGAACAGATGACACATATTTTTCATAAAATATTAAGCAAGGGCAAACCATCTGATGACAGCACAAAAAGAGGAGGCTTTGCTTCCATGGCTCAAATGCTGAGAGTTGTCCACTGGCAACTGGCTTGCTAGGGTTTTAACCATACCCATTATTTGACCTTGAGTTTATTGCTTGCTATAGCAGTGTGAGAGAATGAAAATACACAAATGACATAATACTGCTAGGAAGCAACCAAATTATTAAATTAACCTTGCTTAGATCATCTTGGAGACTTTAAAAATAAAAATTAAAAAGTGCTGAGAGTTTGTGGCCCTGAAGAAAAGGGGGAGATCTACAGGCAGCCCCCTCTTCATGTTTCCTTGCTGTCAATCCAGTACCTTCCCTCCCCCCGATTTTAATGTGTGGTAGCCCTTACCTGGGATGTGTTCCTTTTTCTCCTCAGCCAGGCAGGCAGCCGCTCTGCCCTCATCACCGTGATGGATTTGTTTAGTGCCAGCAAAATGATGCAATTCTACCTATTTATTTTTCTTTCTGGCATGCTGAGACCCAGTGTTTCTGGGGTATGTAATGGCTGCAGCACAGTATCTCAGCAGTATCATCTCTGCCAATTGCTGCTGCAGTATTTGTCTGTGTGTATAAACCAAAGCTTCTCATGGGCCTTTCTGATTTGTGTGGAGTGTGTCTGTACGTGTTCAAATTCTGGAATATGACATCCAGTTCATATGCTATCCACGTTTCAGGATCTCTTAACTGGTTCGCGAAAGGGAAGCAAAATTGGCTTTGTTTCCACATTCCCTTCACAGCTAAATTCAGCAGAAATGTACAAGGGCAGGAGGAGGAAAGACAGAGCACCAGCCACCTCAGTTTAGAGACACTGGCAAAAAAAGCCCTGAATTTTAGTAGGAGCTAACATATGCTCCAGCTTGCTTTCCATTGCACCTCCTTTTCTTAATCATCTCTTCCTTCTCTTCCCAGAAAGAGCCCCAGTGCTTTATCTCCGCATGTTTTTCTCTGACTTGTTCTGTCCATAGATGGACAGTGCACCTTGCACAGAAACCAGCATTAAGAAACAGTGTCTGTATGCTGCCATCTGGGAAGCTTGGCACTTGGAAGTAAAGGCAGTGGCGTCAGGCAGCAGTCATATTTGGCCCTTGTGCAGCATTGGATTTTGAATTGTTTATATGGAGGTAGGGAAGCACAATGTCTGGTTCCCAGACCTGGAAAAGGGGAGGCACAGGAAATTAAGGCGCACAGTGAGTCGTGACAGAGTGAGGATCCAAGTCCTCTGGCTTCTGTTTCTGTGCCGTGATTACAGCATCCTTTCCCAAGTTGGGGGCAATGTGGTGAGTTTTCAGAACGTTTTAATTCCAGCGTGACAAAGCTCTGGTACGCCACATCCACCAAAATTTAGCTGAAGGAAAGGTAAGCAACCCTGAGACTACATCCAGAAATAGGCACATAAAAGTAATTTGAGGGTGGTGTGAAATGATACTTTGATAGAGTGCCAGGCTATGGGAAGAGAAGTCATGTAGCCAAGACTGACAAATGTAATCAGGATTCAGTGGCTCAGCTGTTACAAGACCAGATTTGGAGGACTTCTGCAGGTTGGTGAGCTCTAGAGAATTGAGCCTTTTATAATGAACTGGAGTAGCACAAAGCAGGCAAGCCATGGCTGAGGCTCTCTGGCATGGAATTAAATATTTATTTTTCATAATGGAACAGTTCATTTGAAAGCTTTCAGCAGGAAATTCTGCTTTTTAAAGCTCAGCAAGAGCCACCTTGTTGCAGCTGAAAAGCAGAATTTCATCCTGAAATTTTTCGAACAGCAGCTCAGCCATTTGGTGGGGAGAGGTGTGGCTCTGACAGCAGCATTTGGTCCTTGCCAGTGATGGACCCAAAGCCAGCCACCACAGCAAATGATAAGAAGGTAATGAAGGAGAATTTTTCTTGTTCCATTATGTTAGTAAAATCTTTCTGACAACTCCACAAATATGTCAAAGGAGACCGCTTTAGATTCACATCTGCCTTGTGGAGAAATCTTCAGGAATTATACCATTGAAAGGAACAAGCAAGGCAAATACTTAGAGAAGTTCAGTATGATCAAAGGGAGTCAAGGTGGTTTCAAGAAGCAAACATCACACTTTAGTGGCTTGAAGTCCTTCAGGGTTATGTCTACCAGAGAATTAAAAAAATAATAATAAATGCAGTAGATGGTCTTGTGTGAGCACTTTGATTTCTCAGAAAACGTTTGAGAAACTGTTCTGCATCACAGGTTATTAATATAAAAGATATGAAGCTACAGACTAAGTGGAAAGTTGGCACAGTCTACTGGAAATTGGCTAAAGGGCAGGAAACAAAGGGTGGCAGTAAAAAGCTAAAAGGAGATTAATTGGTGAGTGCTGCAGGGAACAGTGTTGGGACCCGCTTTTTATTATTTACATATAAATTACTTGGAGGGTGGTATTGAAAGATCTCGTCGTTTGCCAGCGAAGCTGTGCTGGATAACACTGCGCATAAAAAGGGACGATACAATTAAGAAAGGGCTTAATTTATTGAAGTAGCCGAGTTGATCAATAGTGCAGGCAAGTGAATGCGGGCTGTTGTATGGCTCGAATTCCCCTGGGGCCGGCTGCTGAGGAGCACCTCAGGTGGCTGCAGGCTCGCGTGTCACTCTGTTGTGAACGGTTTTCGAGCCGCAGGGACTTGCATTGGCTGTCTCTTAAAAAAAAAAAACCTGGCAAACAAACCACAGCGCCTTCACAGAGCTGCTGTGGTCCTTTTCGGCAGCCAAATGCAGGTTTTGTCCGGTGGGTAGATCCATTTGAAATGTAAATATAAAACCAGCCCACCTGTTTGTTCGTTGCTTGCCCAGAGCATTTTTCTCTGCTCTTTGACTGCATGTAGGTGAGCAATATGAGAAACAAATATCTGGATTGAAGAAAGGCGTTATGTGACAAACTGCATAACGCATGTTCAGAAAGATGTCGTGTGTGACTGCGCTCTAGCAGTGTGTATCTGCTGTTACCTATCAGCAGAGATCTGTAAGTACCGGTCAGGGTAAAACATAGTGTAACCCAGTGCTTATTGCCATGGATGTCTGTGCTACCAAGGTTCTGATGCTCTTTCCTTATAGTTGGTTTTCTGGTTACTAAAGTCAAGTTTAGCTAGTTAACAGGTCAGCTGCTCTACTTCAAGTAAGACATCAGTGAATGGTAGAAGTGTGGTGACCAAACTGGGCTCCTTTGAGGGCTGCCCTAATCCTCCAGAGAGATGTTCCAGAGTGAGAAAGTTGGCCAGGGCAGCACAGAAGGGGCTGGTAGGCCAGGGGGAGTTGCTGACAAGGCTCTCGGGACAGCACGGCAGGCAGAGGACAGAGCACAGGTAGCCCAAGGCACTTGGGCCAGAGGTCACAAGTTCTGTGGGGTACTATCAGGATTGACGTCTGGCTGTAGAAGCAATGAGTCATGAGGGAAAGATTGAAGATTCAGGCTGGAATTGCTAGGAAGTTCTTCAAGGGTGCAGCACCAGTTAAGGAAACCTCTGCACTGCCAGCCAGTGTCTGGCCAACCATCTGCGCTAGCAGGGCCATGCAATACTGTTTTGCAGTGCGTGCAGCTTTGCGCAAACTTACGTCACAGACAGAGCATAGCTTAAACCTCACTGTTGTTTAGTTACCTGAAATAAAGCTACAGGAAGGAGGCAGTCATTGGGAAGGTTGTCTCTGGAATTAAAAAAAAAAAAAAGTAGTAATTTGATCACGTAAGATTTACAGTGCTGTGGGGTTGCTTGCTGTTGCAGGCACTTAGGTAACTCCCTGCATCTCTCCTCATCTTTCCGAAACTCCGGCATATCACACTCCCTCACCTTTTCTGTACAGTGTGTGTGGAGTATGCTATGGGGCGTTGCACTCTGTGGGGTGAGTGGAGTGGATGTTCCGTGAGCCCTGCTGGTCTGAGCATCCCTTACATGTGCCTTGGTGGGGCTGCCCAACCTGTGTGCCTCTGGGAGCTCTGCTGTCACGCTGCTCTGTGTCCAGCTGAAGGCACGTGTCGCTACTGCAAGAGACCCTCGTTGAGAGGGTCTTACCCCAAGTAAGAACTAGAACAGAGCTGCTAGCAGAAAAGGGAAGGGTTTGGAGCTGGCTTGTTTCTGTGCCTGGGCAAGGTGGTCTGTGAGCATAACCTGAACCTACAATAGACTGGACAGCTCTAAATCAACTCATTTTTGTCAGCAACATACTGGGGGCACCTACAGCTGTATTTTAGAAATCTGAGGAAAGACAGAAGGAAAGAGCTTAAGAAAAAATTAAGCATTATGCGGACATGGCTGCCCTAATGTGTTGCTGCTGTGGTAACTGGAAGGCAGGCAAAGCTGCATTTCAGTGAACATTTAGTTGCATGTCCAACTGGACCTTGTATACAAGAATCTTACCTGAGGTTGCCCCAAGCTTGCCTCCTGTAACCTTGGCGCTCTCTTTCCTTAACCTGCATTCCAGCCTAGCGTCCCTTATTGCCCTTCTCTGTACCTCTTCTGACATCTAGTTCCTTCTCAGTGGCACCCCTTTCTGGAGGTGGTCAGTTCACAAAGCTTTTGCTTTTAGGAAGTACGTACCTTGTTCCCAGATCACCCACAAAATCAGTGATTGCAATTTTTTCTTTTCCCCCAAAACTAAACATGTTCTTGGTAAAATTATCTGTTCTTGGTGTTGCTCTAGAATTGTGCTACACCAAGGATTTGGACCTTTTGACCTGTGGATTGGCTGCAGGTAGCTTCGACAAGTTTCTTATCTGCCCCAGTGCCGCTCCCCAGTCAGACAAGATTGTTCATTTCAGAACGATTCAAATCAGTGATGCGTGGTCTTGGTTTCCTGCCTTCTCCCCCACCAACGCTGCAAAAACAGCTCTTGTGGTGTAATGTGTACTTTGCCTGGGTGGGAGAGCCGTGGTAGATGCGTTTTTCCTAGTGCTGACGTTCAAAGCTTGGTTATTCTTACGAGGGGCTTCCTGCTGAGTGCATCCCTGAGCGTTAACCCCAATGCTCTCTCAAATATTAGAATCATAGAATCATTTGGGTTGGAAAAGACCTTCAAGATCATCGAGTCCAACCATCAACCATGCATGCTATTTGCCCATACCCAAGAGATGTGATCAGAACACGTGCTTATTGACGGCTGTGTTGACCAACTTACCCCCTATACCCCCATGACTTCTGAGTTGAAACTCTGGGCTGTTACAGGCTGAACTAAATTTTGGGGAGTGGGGACTGTGACAACTACTGGTTTCTGTGCAATGGGCTTGAGGTGAGAGCTGCGCTGCATATAGGGATCTTTTCTATAACAGTATTCCCACTCAGTCTGAATAAGGAGATATGCTCTAATTAATAGAGTATCTTGCCTTGACTTTAATCCTCTCCAAAATCCTTATTCAGCTGCTACCTTAGATAATGAAGTGAAGGTTACATTTTACAAATGACCTTCTTGTGCTTTTGAGTGAAAGGCGAACAAGTAAGGATTAGCAGTCAGGTCTAGGTGATTTTTTTTTTTTTTTCCTTCCTCCGGTACTGGTTGCAGTCCCATAAAATCATAATTATATTAAAAGGTCCAGGCATTTTATGTGCATTGCTTGCTCCATGGTTCCTAAGGGGAGAATGCACCAGGAGGGAGAATAAAACAGCTCATATTTTCTAGTTATGCCAAATGCTTGTTCTGACAAATTTCCCAAATGCCGCTGCTGTTAGTGGAGCCCAAGGCCAGAGCAGGGTGCTTGACGAGGTGCACCGTTTCCAAACTTCACTACAGATGATCGTTTCCTCCTGTCTGCCTTGCCAGGGTTGTCACATTTCTTTCAAACTGTGGTTCTTGCTGTGGTAATTAAACTGCTCCATGAGTGCTTTGTAATGGCTTCCCATCACAACCTGGAAATTTCAGGCGGTTTGTCAGCTGGAATACAATGTGTGCTGGAAGGAGAGTTACATCCAACTAACGGCTCGGTTTAAAACACTTGCCATGACCTTTCCTTGTATTCTGGCTCAGCTGATGGTCTCCTGCCCCTGCTCTCTGTGTCTGCCCCCTCTGCTCTTGGCTTTCCCCAGCCCCATTGGGAAGAGGACAGTGGAAGTTGTCTTAAAGGCAGGGTGTTACGGAGGTGCCAGCAGTGATGGTCAGCCTGACTGTGGCTGCAGACTGACGAGGTGAAGCCAGTGGGCATTTTAATAGTTTGGATAAGCTTGGGGGTTTACTTTTGTGCAGATCTTGAATTACTCTCTACTTACTGAACTCCTTACAGATACACATAACTGAGCGCATAAACAGTTTTTCTCCTTTTCGTGGAACTACTCACTTGCTCAGGCATAATTCTTGAGTGCAGCAGCTGCGTCAGGTCTAGAAAAGTGAATGCAATGCCTTCTGCCACACAGGCATTTCCAAATGTGCAATTTATCTGGCAGAGTTAAATGGATCTGGACAAATAGTGAAAACAATTATTTGTGAATATTTTATTAGAAAATATCAAAAATTCATCAAATAAATTATTCAGCTTCCATATGACTAGTCCTGCCAATGATAAGGAAGAGCCTCACACGCCGAAACCAGGCCGCTGGGCGGGGGAGGCTTCAAGTGCTGCTGGCAGCAGGCGGCACGGTGCTTTACAGCCTGGCTTAAGAACGCTTGCATCCTTCCCAGCTGGGGTCAGCACTTCAGCTGTGCTGAGCCAGGGCAGGAAGGCTTGCTCTCTCAAGGGCTAAATTGGAGACAGACCCCAGCAGTGCTGTGGGAGAGGTATTTCAGTGCCATGGCCGAACCTGCTAACTCACAGCCAAACTCGGCAATGTTTCACAAACAGGTCTGACAGTCTTCTCCTTCATGAATGTCTCTCGGGTTTTTCTGTTTTAGGTGAGAGTTTATGACCTCCTGCAGTACGAGCATGGGCCAGATGATGTTCTCATCCTAGCTACCGATGGACTCTGGGATGTACTGTTAAATGAAGAAGTGGCAGAAGCTGTCACTAACTTTCTACCAAACTGTGACCCTGATGATCCCCACAGGTTTGTGCTCATCCCTGACTTTCTAGCTTCTCCACAGAAAAGCACTTTCTGGTAATCTATTTTTGTAGAAAGTAGGATATGAATAACATTCAGTAAATATGCAATACATACAAGAAGACATTTTTATAAGTTGGATGGAACCTCTACAGCAAATGTGGGCGTTTGGGGCAGGCGGGTGGGGTGTCTGTTATAACTCAGAATTGCCTACCTTCAAAGGAATAGGTGTAGGATCACAGTATCTTGGCACAGGATCCATTTTGTTTGCTGTACAAGGTCCTGTGGAAGCTGTAGGAGACTGAGGTCTTAGAAGAACATGGCAACAGGTCTCTGTCTCCAGCAGTCACAGGCTTCCACTTAACTCTCCTCTGGATAGTCCCTTAACACTAAAGATTGTTTCTCACTGGGACATCATCAGCATCTCTCTCTAGCTCTCACTCTGTAGGTAGGTAGGTAGGTATGTATAAATACTGCACAGTGTGGTTCCCACTCATTCCTGGTCATGCTGCAACCTTTAAATCCACCTTCAGTAGGGGATGCTCAGTGCTACCAGCTGCAGCACAGGTGTGGTGACAAAGGAGGTGGAAACAGGTGGAAAGTCTGACTCTATTTCATTTAGTTGGATTCTGTCTCATTTCACAATTTTAACCTACCTCATCCTCTTCATTTTCCTGTCTTTATCACCTCTTACTTGATCAGTTTCTGTCTTTAAAACATACCATCAAGCAAACAAACAAGTTCCCAAACAACTAGCTAGAGCACTGTCTGCCTTGAATGAGTCCATCAGTCAGTCTGCTGCTGAGTTCAGTGTCACTGTGAATTAAAACATTGCGCTAGAGATCAGAAGTCTCTCACTTGTAAAAGGGAGGACTGTGAAAGTGGAAAGAGCTTTATCCTTCCCTAGGGACTTTTCAGGAAGGGAAGTGTGTGTTGCTCCTGAATTCAGGCCTGGCCGTCGCTGTCTTCTGCCCTCGCCCTGGGCTGAGAGAGCAGAAAGGAGCTTTTATGCATCCCCGGTTGGCCTGCAGAAAGCAGAGCTTCAGAAATAAGCTCTGGGTTATCTCGGCAGCCAAGTGAAAACATACGAGATGGTGCAAGAGCCCAAGTTACAGTTGTTTAGATGTGGCAGCTTTTGAGGGCATGAGGAAACCCATCTCAAAATGCTTGGTTTTTCTCATATTTCTGAGTGGTCATGTTCACAGGTCAGCCCTGTTCTCCATCAGCAAACAAGGAAGATAACTGGGTATGGACACCCTAACAACCACTTGGATTTTGAAGTGAGAGCAGCTCCAAAGTAATTTGCGAGCAGTATTGTCTTGCCCTGACACTTACAAACATGGAATGCAAAAAGAGGTTTTGTTGCAAGCACTCAGTCATTAGGGGAATGGATGATTAGCATGAACCTGCAACTGCAATATTTTGACTTTCACCACCTCCTTGCGCTGAAGCGGAGATGTAGTATGAATGACAGCCAGGGGTGTCTCTACTTCAGCAAGACATGGAAGTGTCTCTGCTCTCTCTCTGGGAGGAGATCAGGCAGGATTAGCAAGGGGCACTTCCAGGGCATCTTGGCAATACGCTAGGCATATATGCCATTAATTTAAGGTAGGAGGAGATGACCCACCCAATCTACTTTCAGTTATTCCCTAGCACCGTTCAGAGATGCTAGGGAGCTTTTGCTCTCATTTCTGCACCCCTGAGTCTCCTCTTGCAAAGGCACCTGGTAAAGTGTAATACCTCTGCCCTGCTCTGTCTCCATTCTCATCTAGTCATTGGGAAAGGTTGGCCCTTCCTACCATCCTCACTGGTCCTGTCTGTTGTGAATACAGTCTGGGTGTATCGTGTCTGTCTTGTTCCTTTTCGTCTGTCCAAAGCTGGTGATGGCCACCACGCTTGCTGCAGTAGGAATGGGAATTCTTTGTTCAATCTTTTGACTTGTTAAGTGAGTGATTTTTCATCCATTATAAAGCAGTCATAGAAATCAAAGACACTAAAGGAAAAAAAGACATTTTCTTTGTTTCATTCAGATTTGTTTGTGCTGGTCTAGCCCCAGTAATTGTGGGGGATTAGTCCCTGTTTGTGCCAGCATGAGTACAACACACTCCAGAATTGGGCCTGCTGTATTATGAGTTAGAACAAACACATTTATTAGCGTTTGACCTACTGGTCTGTGAATGGACATCTGAATCGAAAATTAATTTGTTCTTTTAAGTAACTTTGTGCCAGGTCATTTAGAGGCTTACAAGTAGTGGTGGCAAGACATTTCTCATGCCAGCTTGCAAAGGTAATTAGAGCAGTCCCTCATACAGTTTACAATTATATTTATGAAAATTACCTTTGCGGAATTGCTCTTGCTGCTTGGTTGTAAAGAATATTTAAAGGGTTTAAAGTACTGTGTGAGAGTTTTTACGTAATTACTTCACAGTGGTCCAAATGAGGTATAACTAATGAATTTACAATAGCATAGCAGCTCAGACTGTGGAGCTGCGTTCATTCCTCTCACTAGTCAGTGACAGGAAAATCTTGTTTGCCATATTATCACTGTTATGTTTAAATGAAATGTTGTCCCACAGAACGTCAGGTTCTGTGATGGGTGTAGTGACATAGTCTGTGGTGAGGTGATCAGCTGGAAATGTGAAATCTCCAGGGATGTAGAAAACTTGTCAGAACGTAAGAGACTTTCCCCCTGGGTTTGGTAATGCTGTGGTCTTCTGGACAACCTACCTGTGGAGCAGACTCTGGATCTGCCTGACCCAGTAGCCTACTTATTCCATGACAGGCGCATATTTAAAAAAAAAAAAAAAAAAAAAGGCTAGGGAGGAAGATTTTAGAGCTGCAAAGTACTTATCTGTTAAGTAATTAGCTCTTTAAGGGAGCAATATCCCTCCCATTTGAATTAGAGGTCATTTTATAGGCTGATGGGTAAGAGCTTACAGCCCTCGGCAATGCTCTTGGGACTCTCTCCTGCTGATACTTACTGTCAGAACTGTGTTTGTTACCCACAGAAAAACATCTTTGAATCCTGTCAAACACAGCATGTGCCTGGGCATCTCCAAGTGCAGGGAGAGCAAAGTCCTTGGGTCTGTCTTCACCCAGACATGCAGACACAGCCTCAGGGGATTTGGGCAGCAGGTGATGGGCACAGACTTGATTAGAGAACAGTTCCTCCATGAGGGCTGCAATGGAGGGAAGAAGCTGGAGTGGAGCTGGATTTCTTAGCCAGCTCATTTCTTATGGGTATTGTGGCAGACAAAAGCATGAAGGGGACCCTGAGTGAAGAATAGGTGGTAGTGACATACTGCTGCTTTCCATACATCATCTCTCTGAAGACATGTGAAGACAGAGAAGCGTGACTCTTGCCCGTTTCCTTCAGCTGCACTTATGCAGGTTTACCCACTGACCTTGGGAATCTTTTATTTCTTGTCCTCCCTCCTGTCCTTTCTCATTCCCTCTCTCTCTCTCACACTAGCTAGAGATTTATGAGGATGCTGAGGAGTTGTTCCACCTCTGCTGGGTGTGAGAAGATAAGAAGCTGCTCAGACAGCAGCACGTTTCCCCCACTGTCACCATTTCTCCTGCAGTATTTTCACTGATCAATACTGAAAGCTTCAGGAGAAGAAAAAAACCCATATATATTTATTCTTAAAACACAAAAGTTGTATTCCAGCGAGGCTGTTCATTAGGAGGAAGTGGATACTTTAAAACTACTTCAGCAGTTCTCTAATGCTGTCTCGCCAGCTGAATCCCAAGTTCACAGCACTGGAGAATAAAGCATTCGGTAATGGACTGCTGCTGCTATTCATCTCCAGGTACAAGAGACTTCACCCTATCTCCTCTAGTGCCAAGTTGAACAGCATCGCTTCAATTCAGCGCTACACAAGGAGAGGAATATGTTACCTCGCTGCTGCCTTCACCTGTTCCTTTTCATTTGCTTCGATATGCTGGTTTTCTTGTGTATTTCATAGTCTGTCTCCAAGAGAATTTCTGCTTTATTAAAATTCCTTTTTTTTTATCTTGCCCTCTCCAAACATTAAGCGGCAAAAGCTTTACACGGTCAAGAGCAATACTCTTTCCTTTGTACTCTTCAGATGTGGGGAGCCCTTGTTAATTAGAAAAAGGAGGAAGGCAAAATTTTCTCACAGAATGATGGGTGTTTTCTTCTCTTAAATTCTGACAATAGCTGAGAAATCCTTGGAAAAGATGTTCTAGCCAAAATTCACTTGGCATCAGACAAGCTGTGAATAAATATTCCAGTTTCTCGCTTGCCACGTGGAGTCCTTTTGTTCCTTAGCCCTGCATCTGATTTGGGGATTTGGGAACTGGGGAGTGAAGTATGTATGTTTGGGGTTTTTCCCCTTAGAAAATACAATTTCATGTTGCGTTAGGACAGTATGGGCAGTGCTTCTTGCTACATCCTGCCGTTACAGCTTGAAGTTGTTGTTACAGACTTTTTTTGGAACGTGCAGACAGTGTGCACATGTGTGTGCAAGCGTGTGTGTTAGAGTTCATGCCTTGGGCCCTTCTCTTATTGCTAAAAGTAAATCTTTTCTCAAAACTAGTGAGGGCTGGAAATTTTATCACTCGGTACCATTAGGAGCAGGAGGTGCATTGCTTCTGTACAACATTAGTTGGATTTAACATCAAACCTTTTGGGTAGTCAAATGTTGGTTCATTTGCACTGAAGAAATCTTTCTAGTAGAGCAAATAAGTCTATTGCTAGTTCAAAGGAGTCATTTGAGTTTAAGGCACCAAAATTGTAGAAACAGAACACAATTGGGGTTTTTTCCTTCTTTTATTCCCAGAGAGTGAATAAAAGTCTGCACTGATAGAAATTACCATTTAATAATGCATTCTCTGGTGAAAAATTCTGGGGTTAGAACAGTCCTGGATACTCAATAAAGTAGTTGGTTCCCCCCACCCCACGTCTCACCAATGGAGATGCTGTTCTTTCCTGTTCCTCAGATGGGATCTGGGCAGATAATTCCTGGCCAAGGATCCTGCCTAGAAAAGAGGGTCTTCAAATGCAAACGCTTCTTGTCCTTCCTGGTTTCTGGAAACTACAGAGGTGTGCTTTGCTTCTGGTGGCCTCTGTGTTTGGCTTCATAGAGCCCCGCATCATCTTGGAGGTTGATACTTATGCTTTAAATAAAACACAGGCAGACAGAATATTGAACTGTTTTTTTCTTGTCAGTCTTTTAACTGTTTGATTAATTTTTAATTATCAAATCATAGAAAAGCTTGCCTCCACCCAACCAAATTCAAAACATCTTAGCCAGGTGTTGGACTGATGAAGAAAAACATGTGACAGTAGCTGTTCACCCATAATGAGATTTCTTTCAGAGGAAACTTCTAAATGAGTACACAGATGTGTTGATCTAGTAACAGCAGGTAAAATGATAAGGGGAACATGTCAGAGCACATGACGGAGCACTGTCTGTGCATCACCTTTTGGACTCTTGACACCCTTCTGCCCCCAAGCACCACCTGTTATTTTTTCAGGACAGAAAATAACTGCCATAAATCCAATGCCGCTCAGCCCAGCACAGGCTGGGAGTTTTGAAGCAACATGAAACTTGGTATTTCACTAAATTAAGCACTTAACAACTCGCATTCACACAGTTTTCATTGAACTCATAAATGTGAAAGAACTGTGGGATTCTGTTAATCTAGTTGTATTAGCTGTAAGTTTCCTTTTCCAGTTTCAGGATAAAAGAGATTTTAAAATCATTCCTATGGTCAAGGAAAACAGACAAGTTAGTCTGCTTGGTTTAAAGTGTAATTTTGATTTTATTTTTAGTGCTCTATTACTTGCTTTCAAATGACTTTGCTATAGTTTGTCTCTGAAATAGTTGAGCCATGTTTACCTTTAGGTGTGTCAGTGAACAAGGGTGTAGTTTTCAACAGCAGGTAGTGTTATCTGGGGTCCTCAATTTTCAGACTACTCCTAGAAAGCCAGTTTGTTAAGGCAAGTGTGTTAATATTTTCCTGAAAACTGGTGAAGCCAGGCACCCAAAACGGCCAGTGACTTTTTGGTCGATTGCTGCTCATCAAATACCTTTAGATTCTGATGCAGGAGCCATCACTGAACTGGAAGGGGTTGCTTTGTGGGTATGCCATGGTTTGTGTTTCTCCTGCCTGCTTCTAAAACACTGGGAAGCTTGTCCTGGTAGCTTGCAACAGTAAATCTGGCAGGCTGTGAAAACCCACTTTCCACACGAAGACGAGCACTCCCTGGCTGTGTTCTGCCTTTTCCACAGGTACACGCTGGCGGCGCAGGACCTGGTGATGCGAGCCAGGGGAGTGCTGAAGGACCGGGGCTGGCGAATATCCAACGACAGGCTGGGCTCTGGAGACGACATCTCTGTCTACGTCATCCCTTTAATACACGGGAACAAACAGTCGTGAAAGTAGCATCAAGAGTGGTTATAGGATGGGGATCTTTTGGGGAAGGGCCTATAAGAGACAATATGTTTTTGGTGATCTGACCAGGACACTTCCGATTAATGTAATCTATTCAAAACTAATGCTGGAGGGGTATTTTTCTGCCCAAAAGCTAGGGCTCTGCACATATACTGTATATGATTAAAGATAACCCTTAAGATTACAGTTTCCCTGTAGAAATGTTTTTGGTGCTTAACAGGAATGGGATTTAAATGCTGCTAGCATATTATGGATTCTGTCGTCCCTCCAGGTGGGGAATTAATTTCTTTTTCTCAGTTTACGATGTAGCTTGGAAGAGCCATTTCACTTGTGGAAGTAGAAGTGGGTGTCAGAAGCCAAGGAGGCTCCTGAAATCTACGCCCAAATATTCAGAAGGTGACTTGGGTCACATCTCATTTGAAAATACCTATATATACATATATGAGACTCAAGAGTTTTCTTCTTTCAAAAAGTTGCATTCATGACTTACCTACAGACAGCTTCAAACTTGTGTAATCCTTCAAAACCCCCCATTTTCCTCTCCTGTCTCTTTTTCAGTAGACTATACTCCTGTATTTTAGTAGGAAAACTGAAATTGTTTTCAGTGTGAATATGCGTGTTTACTGCAGCTAAAACAGCCACCTGCAAAATTGTCCAGGAGAAATAGGTCACAGTCCTGTATGGCAAGATTTAATTCTGGTGTGAGGAGTTATTTGTCAAGATTCCCTGTTGTGTGTATACCATGATTATACAGAGCATGCAAACTCAGCTTTATGTAATGTTTACCTGGAGGCCATGGTTTCTTTGGGATCAGAGATTTTCATTCATGGAATGGTTCTGCCTGCTTTATCCTGTTGAAAGGATCCCTGACCATACAGCTTTTGCATCAGTTGGGATTCAGTACATTTATTTGGGCTCACGAGTGTATTTTTAGTTGGATTCCTACTTGAAGTGGTGGTATTGTTCTCGTTATCAATTTGGATACCCAGATAGTGATCTATTTAAAAGTCCTTTCACTTCTTCCTGCCTCATTTGGTGATCAGAAAGTGACAGCTTATAACTTTCTGTCTCTTGGTATTGAGGACTGTAATCAAGGCTCAAATATCACTGTGGTAGATAGAAGCCCTTGGCTAGCTTCAGCAGCATTTTTCTTAGCAGTGATGCATCAATTTAAATAAAGAAAATCTGAGTAAAATGTTACCAGAGTGAAAGCAATAGTCCAAGAGGGAAACAAGTGAGCAAATCTGCAGCTTAACCTGGCTGCCTGTCCTTTAAGCAGGCAGCTGTCTTCATTGGCAGGAGTTGAAGAAAAAACGAAATCGGAAGGTTCTAGTGTATATTGGCTGGGGAGCCAAGTTCAACCTCATTTGCCCCCAGACCACATTCTTTTGGAGCTCCTTATCTGGTTTGTACTTCTTGGATAGCCAAAAGACAGGGAGCTGACATAACTGTAGGGCACTGACTAGGCAGCTCACAAATGTTGTGTCCTTTCCAAAGGAGAAGGAGGATGCTGTGCCCTTTGCAGACTTTCTCCTGAACAGGCGTGGCCTAGAGCTCGCCAGTTTTGTAATTTATAATGTGCTATGTAAACATGCAGCGTGTGTGCGGTGTAGCTGCCCAGATGCTTTATTTGATTGCATCCGGAAGTACGTGTGCAACAGTCTCGGTGGATTTAAACTACCCTTGCTCTAAATCTCTAGACCCAGTAGGAGTTTCAGGTTGAGAGCAGGCAACGCAGAGTGTGTAACGGCTCAAACATGCAGCAAACTGCGTGATTTTAGCCTGAAAACTGTTACGTGCAATCCCCAGTGCCTGCATGTGATAAAGTTGTGCAGAACATGGATGTTTTATATTCTAGAGCTTCAGCATATATCAGTGGCATATCTGATTATGTGTTGTCATGCTTTATCTATTCTTTCCTTATTTTTTTTCCCTTTACCTCTTTTTCTGTGTGCAGCTGGGTAAAAAGAGAGGTTTGGAGTCTAGAATATTTTTCACATGGCCCCTCATATGTTTTAAAGTTTAAGCAAGAGATCTTCTCTTGTGCTTTTTTTTTTTTTTTGGCCTAATAAACTTGTAAACATGCTTTTTATGCTCTGTGTAACTCCTGTTGTCTCTTTGCAAATGCAGTTGTGTAGTCCTCTAGCAATTCATATCCTCTTGCACAAAGAAACTAAAGCTGGCAGTTCTGGTGGAGTTGTCTGAACAGCAAAGAAGCTGGTGCTTGCTGGTACTAACTACAAGCCTGAGTCAAATGTTTCAGTGCTTGTGCATTGTTAGTCTTCATTATTTGGTAACATGGTGTCAACACACAGACCAGTCATTACAAAACCACCCAGTGCAATGTGGTGGAAATAAATTTCCAGTGTAGCATTTGCCAAAATTTAAAAGTGAAACTTCAAGGCAATGGAAAATGCACCTTCTCGTTCAGGGGTGTTTTTAAACATACCCCTGGAGAGATAGGTTAGCGGAGTGCATGACTTGGTGGGAGCAAACTGGCTGGTGACTTCTCAGAGCAAAATCTCGTGGACGCTGGTATGGCTTCGTGAATCAGCCTCTACTCTGTTTGTTGTTCATCTGAGGTATTGCTGTCAGTCAGCCTGCTTCTCTGCAGTGACTGGGCCCGGGTCAAGTTGTGTTAGCTGTCAGCCCCTCTCCTGGAAAGGGCAGAAGTACAGTATCAACAGTTAATATCAATTAGCATCAATTAATAAATTCTGAGAACTTCAAAGAATAATAAAAAGTTTCCTACTCAGGTGTATGTGACTGAAATGATGCTGTAATGCTTTTTGTTTTGCTTTTTTACAAAGTATCTGCTACACATTTGCATGCTTGCCTCCCTAGAATGTCTCTGGTAAATCTCTGATAACCTGCATTAGTCCCTGGGCTTTCACTTCTATCTGCTTTCAGTAGGAGCTTCTTATGTGCCTGCACTGTGGTCTGTGCTCTGCTTCAAGGCATGGTACAAGTACATATACACACCAAAGCCTCATATAAATAGGAGGCAGGAGCCATTTATTGGGGAGGTATTGTGTGAGAAGCAAGAATAATTAAAAGCATTTCCAAGTCCCTTTATAGGTCGAATTATTTTGGGAGTCACAGCATTAGAAACCACTGATGGCAGGGAGGATCCATGGTGCACAATACCATTTTTCAGATAGGCACAGGATGGATATTGCCATGTGCAGACTTGCAGCTGCTCTAGGGCTCAGCGAAGCTCCCGAGTTAGGAGCAGACAGCTCGCCTCCTCAAACTGCACCAAGTTCGGCACCAAGTCCAAATTTTAGATCCTTGGCACATCATCGTAGTTACTGCCTGACGCTGGCAGTGCTACGTTTTTTTGCCAGTGAAGTTCCCTTAGTATCCAAAACTGTTTAAGCCTTAGCAGCAAGGAACCTCAGTCCTGAGTTACATCTGTATTCATACTGCTGTTGCACAGTGCTGTGTCCTTGCCTGTCCATGGGCACTGCCTAGAAAGTCAGGCAAGTTCTTGTCCTTCCTGGACAAGGGCAAGGAAAGGAGGTAGTATGCCATGTAGTCCAGGTTCGCTGACAGTGCAATGTAACACCATCTTCTGGTGCCTAGTCCAGTCCAATTTCTAGAAACTCAAAACCAAGAAGCTTCTACCATTCTTCTGTTAATACTGTTGCAGAAGGTAGTACAGCCATTTCGGCCATCTTTCTCTTGCACTACAGCCTAAAACCTTCTTTGTTTAATTTGACGAAGAAGGTAGACATTTCATTTACACCTTAAGTGGGGCACACAACCATCTTTGGGTACATTAAGGCAGTGATGCTTCCTCTGTGAACACAAAAGTGTATTGTCTGAGAGGGCTGATGTTCAGTGGCCTCATGTGGGGGAGAGAGAGAATTTTTTAAATAAATTCTAAAAAACAACAGGGCTAACAAGCTAAAGGAAGAGTGGTCAGAGTCTGCTGTTAGCAGTGGATTTCCATGTTAAAGTTACTTCCATGTTAAAATATGACGAGAGGTCTGTGAGGTACCATCAATTCTGTGCCTCCAGGATATTTTTGAAGAGCTGCACTTGATGTTTGGGCAGATTTTGGCTTTGAACTTTTGCTAGGTTTTTAAAGAACACTACACACTCCAAACAAATCTGCTGTGTTTCTTCCTGCCTCGGCATTTTGCTTTTATTTTACATTTTATGTACAAATACTTTCAACATTTTTGTATCAAACATGAATTGCAAACTCTGTGGAATTGTTGTTCCTCCCTGACATTTTTGGTGTGTAAATAGTTTTCCTCCATGTGTCCTAGATGAAGATATAGCAATGTGGCTACCATAGAGAGAGAGAGACACCAAACGATGCTGTAACTGTGCTGCTGTATTTCTACCTGTGATGTACTTGAAGGGGGATGCCCTTGTCCACCTCCACTCTCATTCTTTTTTCTTTATCTCTCTTTTTTTTTTCTTTTTAACCATTGCTGCTGGTGTTCTTTCATAGGTGTCTTATTTTGGTCTAAGTTTTTCTGGTGGTTTTTTGTTTGTTTGTTTTTTTAAATAACTGCCACCTTTTTCTTTCCTTCATCAGACAAGTCATCTTGTTTTGAGATCTGTACAACTGTCTAGGGTTTTTTATGTCCTGAAGAATGGAGGACCTGCTGGAGGAAGATGTTTTGGACCAATGTACTTCTGCTCTGTGACTGTGAAATGTTAATCTTTTTGTAACCTAAGAACAACAAATGTTTAGTAAAGGGATATATTTTGTGTTTTTTCAAACTTTTCAGTGCAATGAACAAAAGAGGAGGATGCTGAAGAAGTGTATGCGCAAAGTTTTAAAATAAAATTTTAAATTATATATTATATATATCCATCTACATCTATAACCATTATTATTCTGCCTTTGTCTTGACGAGTACCTAAGTCTCTTTGTGTGTATTACTAATTGTGCAATACAGACAAGTAGCACACTCTGCTTTACAAGGGAATGGATGATTCACTGACAAAAGGTCTCACTCTTGATT